TCTTCAAGCCATTCCAGGACACCACCAATATGCTCTGCACCCACACGGCCAGTCTGGGGCAAGTCATCCCCCCATTTGAGGGCTGGACTGGGTGCTGGCCTCTGCACTGCAGCTGGGCCCTGAGGGGACAGCTGTTTCCCATGGGTCCAGGCTTTGGCAGAGAGATTGCAGCTGGGCATTGACACCAGGTTACATCCACTCTGCAAGGAAGGGGAGTACAGGTTGGCCTGTGTGTGACCCATGGATTTAAGGCAGTATCACTCTCCATAATGCAGACCTTGTGGACTGGAAGTGTGAGATCTGCAGAGAGGTATGGAGGTTTCAGGCCAGCAAACATGGCCAGAGGAAACAGCAGGCAGAAGGAGCTGGGGAGGAGGAGCAGGATGTGCACCCCTCTAAGAGCCAGATGAAGCAGAAGCCCCACTACTTGCTGTTGGTGGTGAAATGGGAAGTCAGCAGCAGCAGCACCGGGGGAGGGCAGGTATGCTATGGTGGAGGATTCTACTCAGTTTATGGTCAGGGAGTCCCTTGCTGAGTCCCCTGAGCTCACCAGCTCTGATCCCTTGGAGTACTGGTCATGCAAGGCCAACATCTGCTCTGACGTCTCTTGTGTGGCTACGAATCTCCTATCATGCCCTTCCACCAGCATCAAGAATGAGTGGGTGTTCTCCCATCTGGGAGATGTCTTCAGCCCCCACCGTTCTTGCCTGGACCTGGTCAGGGTGGATGAGTTGTCCCTCCTGAAGTTCAGACTCCCCCTGCTGGGCCACCCTGCTCTGGAACTGGTGGACTAAGATCCAGGCCTCCTGTCATCCCCCCTGTGTTCCCCCCTCCTTCCCTCCCCTCTCTGGGTGATCCGGCATGTGGGTTGTGTCCCAGGAGCTTGGGTGGGAGGAAGGCCGCTTCTGCCAGGTGGGGGTAGGTTGGCCCCTCACAGGATCCAAACACATACCTCAATTTAAAAAAACCTACCATAAACCTTATGGACCAAAATGTTCCTCATAGCACAACAACTGCCTATTGGTGGAACAACATCCACCTCAGCAAATATCTACCTCAACAATCATTGACCTGTACAAGAAAGCCCATTTGAGTTCAACTTTTCATTGCTTTTCCAAAACTCACAACAGACAATCTCACATCCACACAATGTGTTCCACTTCCACTAATGGTAAAGAACCTGAAATTTCACCCAGGGGTGGGCTGTGACCAGAGGATCCTGGCGCTTGGGCCTAAGGGGGGCTGGGAGCATTTTGGGCATGCTTTCCTTTCTTGCGGGATCTGGCTGGGGTGCTTTTAAAGCTGGGTGGGGCCTAGGGGAGGCCCAGTCAACCCTCTATGGATGTCCATTCTTGCCTCTCTGTTCCTCAAAATCTGCCTTTCTAGACCTGAGGGGTGGCCCTGCCACTGTGATGCTTATTTACACTTATTTGCAATGTAGAATTTGTCCAATGGATGGGCTTGCTTCGGGCTTAGTCCCGGAGTTGGACACTCCCCCCCCCCATGAAGGGTGTGTGCTCTGTGGCTGGGTGTCAAGCCTCAAGGGGTGGTTCATGTCAAAACTTCAGGGATGCATGCCCTTTCCCACTTTTCAGTCTGTCCTTTGGATGCTGGCTGCAAGCTGCAGCCTGAGGGGGAGGGAAGTGGGCATGACATTGTGCATTTAGGATTTGGGGGGGTCTCCCATTTGCTTAAAGTCTTAAGGGCCTGTCTTGATCTGTTGCTCCTCCGATGAGATGTTTTCTTTGCACTGCTTATATTTCCCAGGGCCACAAGCCACAACATCCATGGATATTGTCGCACATTCAGGCATTTTGAGGGTCTTTCTTTGGTCAGTCTCAGAGGACATTGGCAGAAGGTTCGATCCACTCTTTACTATTTTGGTTTGCTCCTTCCGGTTGGGGATTGGATGTTCTGTGGATATAGGGCTTTGAGCCAACCTTTCACTCGCCCTCTGGCAAAATAATCACTGTGCATGGCCAATTCTTTTCAATGCCAAAAGCCACTACTTCAACAGTCATCATGGGACACTGTGGGGTTGGACTCATCTGTGATGGTCTTGGGTCTTCAAGCCACCATGTCAAAGCTTGTTGTTGATCACTTCTGCATTTGGGTCTCCTCTTCTTTCTCTCAGGGTGCGTTCAGACGGGGGATTTACAACAGTTAGGGTGCCGGTTCCAACCGGTGTACTTACGGGCATTCAGACGGGGCACATCTGCCTCCTGTCCCTAACCGTTGTAAATCCCTTTAAACCGTTGGACTCTGCCACTAGGTCCCAAGTGGTGGTAAACTGAGTGCAACGGTTGAAAACGGTGCACCCCGGCATCTGATCGCTCTCCAAACGTTGTACAGCTACTTCCGTCGGAAGCCTGAGGCTTCCGGCTTTCCCCCACCATTTTTTTTTAAAAAAATAAGCGATATGTGCTCGGGTGAAGCTTCGCCCCGAGCGTTTGTTAAGAAAAAAAAAAAGCCCTTACTTTAACTTCCCGGAGCAGTCCAGGACTACAGGGAGGCCAGGTTGGGCTTTAAACTTTAAAGGTAAGTCCTTACCTTTAAAGTTTAAATGTAATGGGGGGGTTGAGCATGCGTGTGAGTGGGCGTCCACCGGAGGGATCCGCAAAATGGAGGGTAAGTGTGATCGTGTTTCTGCCGGCATAAACTGCACCGGTTCCAACCGGTGCAGTTTATGCCGGCAGAAACGCCCCGTCTGAACGCACCCTCAGTGTTCTGAGCCACCTCCATGTCTTCCTTCATGTTTCAGTGCTGCCTCCTGGGCCTTCTGTGAAGCCCTTCTGACCTTTCCGAGCATGACCTGCTTTGGGGTCCCACCCACAGCAACACAATTGTGGGGAGCCTTTTTTGGGACGGCCTCCTGTTCCCCCTCCACTTCTCCCTGCTGAAAGGGGAGTAGGCCTCTTCTTCCTCCAACTGGCCTTTCCTCTGGTGGCAACAGGGTTGGGTGCACCCTTTGTAGATGCACATGGAGGACAAGTCTTGGGGGGTTGTGTCCCTCTGGGAAGCATAACTACTTTCTGGCATGGGGCTGGGAGGGGCCATGGAGGTGTGTCCTCCAGGCAGGAGTAGCAACAGGGAGTTGGGATGTGAAAGGAGAGCATGCTTCCCCTCCTCACCCTGTGAATCACTGCTGTCAGAGGTGTCTTGGGGCAGTGCTGAAAACACTTTTGCCTCTGTGGAGAGCCCCAGGAACAGATCAGGGGAAAGAGGCTTTTAGATCCCTGGTGAAGCTCTGCTAGAGCTGGCCTCCATTGGCCTGTCAAGATGGGTTTGGTGCCTGGGGACCAGGGGCCTGAGGCAAGGTGTGTCTGGAGGATTTTTCTTCTCCACATGATGATCACCCTTCACACCCACTTTCATCCTGACAGCACTCAGAGGGGTTCACACTCAAGAGGCATGGGTGGGTATAAACATGAAAGACTGTTTTTGGGGGGATGTAATCTGCCCCCCATTCTGAGAGATTGTAGAGGAGTGGGTGGCAGGGTGGGTTTCCCTGTAGCTTGTACAGGGTCTGTTCTTTACACTCCTGAGCCTGTGCCTGTCATTTCCCCAAAAAGCACTTTCTGGAGGACACCTTCTCTGGGGGGTCATAACTTGGACCTCCCAAGTCCAATCTCCACATAACTCAGAGGGAATGTAGGGGAGCATTCCAGAGAGGTCGTCTGTGATTTTTGTGCCTCTAGCTTGTACAGGGTCAATTCTATACACTCCTAAAACTGTGCCTGACATTTCCCCAAACACTTTCCTGGGGGCTCCTTCTTGGAGGGGGCGTAACCCCTAAGTCCAATCCTCACAGAACTTGGTGGACAGGTAGAGGAGTGTCAGCCAGAAATCTCCGGTGGGCGTAACCCCTAAGTCCAATCCTCACAGTTCTTGGTGGACAGGTAGAGGAGAGTCAGCCAGAGATCTCTGACGAGTTTGGAGTCTCTACCATGCTGGAGGGCTGTTCTGCCATATCACAAACATCACAAACCTGTTCAGTTTGTATAAAGCCATTTAGCTTGCAGTGGTTCATGGTTCTATTTGCGGGTCCACCACAAACCATGAACCATCACAAACTGCATTTTCCCAGTTTGTGCCCATCCCTAGTCCTTGTGACGGTAGTGTGTATTGATTTTGGAGTTTAACTGAGGGCTATATCCCCACATCACACTTCCCCCTCACAACACAATGTACACATGTGGTAGAGGCCAAAATAATATGGTTTTACTGGTCTGCAAGCTTACTGCTGGCCACCCTGTATGTGAATTTTGATAGTGCTTTTGAGGTATCCTTTTCCCTGCCTTGACAAAACCCTATTATAACCCTTCCACAGTTAAAACCAAGGAGGAAAACAGAGGTGGAATGCAACCAGATAAAGGTTTATTTACTGGGGGGGGAGGGGGGGGGGGGGAGATGCAGACCTCAGCTTGCCCAAATAGCTTTCCAATCACCCAGAAATACTGAATATGAGATCCATATACCAGTGTGTGTCACACCAGCCCACCCCACAAAATTGTCCACTTTCACCTCAAGGGACTGGATAGAGAGCAAGATCCCTACTTAGCTTAAGAAACCTCTAAAGCCTTTATTAAATGGCTCTTTCCCCCCCCCCTCGTACTCCTTCCCTCCTCCCTCCCTCCAAGTGTTCAGAAGAACTAGATTGGTCATTTCTGGCTTTCTCTCCAGACCACCTGGGTACAAGGGGGATTGACATCTACTGAAAAAGGGATGGAGTTGGCTCTGTGGAGCCCCCATTGCCTGTAATGACCTGGCACACTAATAATCAAGTGTGTGAATTGGGCCTGGGGTGGAGAGATCAAGCTGTTATGAAGAAGCCCCCATGTGGTGAGCTCCTGGGAGTCTGGATTCATCCCCCTGCCAGAATTAAAACAAAAACAAAAACCTTACTTGTTATTTCATATATCAGTGCTTACTCTGTATGAAGGAAACACCATTAATGTTTTATGAGACTTGAATCATTTGACATCCTGATAGAGTCTTACGTTCTTGGAAAGATGTGAAGAGCATCTGGAATCGGCTGCTTCGACTGCCTTCATCTGCCCACATGCGGATTACTCCAAGACCTGTGCGCAGCATCACATCATTAGCAACAGTGCTGCAAAACTTAGCTTTTAAATCCTCCACTGAGCTACTTCCATCATAGACAGCCACAAAATTCCTTTTGCACTCATTAGAATTCTGCATTTCATAGTCCAAGAACCGTAAATATATCTACAAAACAAAAAAACAGTGAATATGACAGCATAAACCAACATTGGAACAAGAGGCAGTCAACAGCATTCTTTCCTTTTTGTAAGGAAAATAATCCAATTTGCTATTTGAACGATAGAATATTGCTCATGTTGAACCTTCTTGCTCAGTAACAAGTTGCAACAGTACTGGAGACTGAATTACTATTACTAGATAAGGATTTTGTAATTCAGTGTGAGTCTGTTTTCCAGGGAGTCTTTCCCTGAGAAACACATAATTTGCACATGTATGAAGTTACTTGTATTCTTCAATCAGAGACTATAGGTGTTTAATATTACCCAAATGGAAGTAGTCAAGTAAAAATCTGTTTCTTATACTTTCAGACATTGTTATGTTATTTGCATATTCAGGAAAAAAAACCCATAAAGCTAAGAATTGTTCTTATTTCCTTTGGTCAATATGTGTCATCCTTCTACCAAGTAGAAAATCTGCTGCTTGGAAATCTGGAAGCCACTTGAAACTGAGGCATTAATCTTCTCAAGCATTTTGAATGTTATATTTTTAATAAACCAACTCTTTTTTTAATAAATCAACTCTAACATATTTATAAGCAAATACAGAAAAAAAATATAATTTATAGAAGTTCTTCTTAATTATACATTTTAACTAAATTTCTATTTTCAATTATCCTTAAAGCCAAGTTTGGAATTTAGGGTTGTTGTTTGATTCTTTTAAAAGCATCCCTGTAATGAAGAACAATTGTACAACTGCAACATCAAATTTTCTGTTACAATGCTATAATTCTGTTATAATCAGTAGGAAGTTATACTATGAAAACAGATTTAGAAAGTTAAGTGAAAATATACAGTCATACTCTTAGAAGCTTGAGACTCTGTTGGAAGTTTGTGAAAGGTTTAGTCCTACCTGCTTGGCTGTGACTTCTATCTAACCTAACAAAAGGCATTCTGATGCTTGGTATTGTTTCATAATGGCTTGGGCCAAGCAGCCCTCAGGACTAGCTAGTATCCCCCACCCCCAGCAGAAGGGAAGTGTATGTATATGGGTCTGCAGGAAGAAGACATATGGCTCAGTTTTGGAAGAGGTGCTGACAAATTCCGAGGCAGATGTTGGAAAATAGCAAAAAGAGGAGGCAGCCATTGCTGCGAGGGCTGACTACAGCACCTTGGGGTACAGACAGACACTCTCCCTCTGTCTGTCTGAGGATATGATTATGTATTTTAGTTGATCTTTAGCTCTGCAGGAGTGCCTCTGTGCCTCCACCTTATAACTATTATTAGACTCCTGCATGGGAGTTTGTTTCAAAAGGGACTGTTTCATTATTAGGTAGTTTTTATGGTTTTGTTTTATTATTATTTATTTCATCATGTTGTTTCATTTTCATTTTTCTTTGCCATTATTATTGCCTGCTGGCTTCAGTGGAAGACCCTAACCCTCTCTCTGGTCTGTATCTTCATGATTTTCCATCCACATTTGACAAACCCCAGAGGGATTGCAGTATTCCCATAGCACACCCACACTGCCAAGTTCCAGACAGGTAGAATAAAATCTCCCCCCTTTGAGTTAACGAAAGGCACCCATGTTTAACATGAAAGTCCATGGGAGAGCTCATAGAATGGATCCAAACTGTAGCACAGACGCACTGCAGCCACTTAGCTTGAAGAACAGTAGTATGAGGAAGAGGCAGGTGACAAGGCAAGGGCATTGGGTGGTACAGGGAGGGTAAGGCACTCATGCAGGCAGTCAGCAGCAATAGGACCTTGAAGTAGATTTGCTTCGATGGAGTATAAGGTTTGAAGAGCAGCAGGCAAGCAGAGGAGTGCGGACTCCAAGGGGAAAAATGGCACAGTAGTGCAGGCATTGGGAGGAGAGAGGAAGACAAAGTCTCACTCAATATCCTTTAGGATTGGAACACCTCTCTCATGTATGTGATCCTTGTGGCTACAGCTTGCAGTCCATCAAGAAAGCCCAGAACCTGTCTCTTGCTCCCCATAAAGAACACTGTGCTCTCCTTATGCCCTTATTAAGAAAATGTTGTATGCATTGTAAAAGTGAAACCAATAGAAGCAAGGGCTGCAATAATGAAAGAAACTAGAACAAAACAAACATAAGTCATTCCCCCGCCCCATTATGGACTGTCCAGATGGGAGATTTGTTTTGTTTTCATATTAATTAATGCTAATTACAGAACAGCCCATTTTTGAAATGATTACAATTAATAATGAAAGACAGTAAAATACTACAATGACACCATAAGTATTAAGTGTTCTCTTCTTCAATAGAAATAGACTTGGGTAAGTATAAGTCTCTGCAGGGTAGGGTTGCCAAGTCTTACCTTTAGCTGGAGTGGGGGACTCCCGGCTGTTTCCTGGAGCGCGCGCGCACCGCAACCCCGTCACCCGGAAGTGATGTGATCACGCTGGGCATGCTGGGGGTGGGGCCACGACCATCTGAGGGAAAACCATAGAGTTTTCCCTTGGATGACTGTGGCCCCGCCCCCAGCGTGCCTGGCATGGTCGCATCACTTCCGGGTGACATGCACGTCATGTACTTTGGGGTTGGGGTTCCCCCCGGGGCGCGATCCACCGGCGACAGGGAACGGGCTTCTGGGGCGTGGGTTTCCCCGCCCCCCGGGGGGACTTGGCAAGCCTACTGCAGGGCTTTGTTTGTTTGTTTGTTTGTTTTAAAAAAAAGAGGTGCCAGAACTCTCAAGATGGAAATGAAGTTTTAAACATTTTTAAAAGAATTTTGTCAAAGAGGTTCTGGAACTCTGTTCCAGCACGTTCCCCCAGAAAAAAAAAAGCCCTGAGTCCCTAGAAATTCTCACTGTTCAGAAAAGTAGAGTGAGCATTACAATACAATGGAGAACTAATTATTCTTTCTATAGGCTTCTATATAGAATCAATCTGCACAGAATAATTGCAAAGAAAACAAAAAATGCAGGAAGGCAGAATTAATCTTTTGACCAATCAAAGCATCTATTTGCCAAAATAATTAAATAAGTGTTGGGAGCATCCCAGTCAATCAACAGATTAGCTAATTGACTTTTGTAGAATGTGAATGTCATCCTTTTCCTGTGATACTAAGCATTCATTATATGTATTTATTTATCAGATTTTTTTTATCCTGCCCACCCCCCTCAGAATGGGGCTCAGGTCAGATAACAACATAATAGTACAATAACAAAACCATAATTTCAATAAAATCCAATTAAAACTCAGCACACAGCTTTTGGCATAAAAATCTACAACATTGTTGGTAGAGTCCACCAAAATTACATTAGTGGGAAGCCTGGTGGAATAATTCTGTCTTATATGTCCTGCAGAATGCAGACAAAAGTCCTGCAGGACATGCTCGTTTGGAATTTAAGGCTGTGTCATTGAAATCAACAGAACCTCTGCATTAATGTGTTTATGACAGGGGCCAATCAGAGGGACTTCAAACTCAAAGAGCACCTGAGATTTAGACCCACATGCTCCCTTGATCCGTGCCCTTCATGGCTAATCAAAGCTGGCCACAATAGGCTTTGAGGTGCGCTAAGGGAGATTATTAACAATTCCCTCTTGGAGGGACTGTTCCCTGGGGCACTCAAGAAAGTGGTGGTCCGACCTCTCTTGAAAAGCCATCCTTGGATCCAGTTGAATTGGCAAATTATCGGCCAGTTTCCAACTTGCCCTATTTGGGCAAGATAATAGAGAGGGTTGTGGCAACTCAGTTGCAGAACTTTTTGGATTACACTTCCATTTTAGATCCCTCCCAGTCTGGTTTTCGCCTGGGCCACGGGATGAAGACATCATTGGTTGCCCTCACGGATGACCTCCGGAGTAATCTGGATTGGGGCAGCTTGGCAGTGCTGTTGTTGTTGGACCTGTTGGCAGCATTTGACAAGGTTGACCATCAGCTGCTGATCTACCGCCTCACCAACACTGGAGTCCAGGGGCTTGCCTTGCAATGGCTTGCCTCCTTCCTCTAAGGTTGGGGACAAAGGACGGCACTGGGGAAACAGTTATCCCAAAGGCACCCACTGGGCTGTGGAATGCCCCAAGGGGCAGTGCTGTCCCTGATGCATTTTAACATCTATATCCTCCCCCTTGCCCAGATTGCCCAGAGGCATGGGCTGGGATGTCATCAGTATACAGATGACACCCAGCTCTGACTCCAAACGGAAGATCTAGACTGGGCACTACAAGCCATGGCTGAATGGTTTAGAGTGAGCCAACTGAAATTGAATCCAATGAAGATGGAGGTCCTGTGCCTGAGCTGGGGTGGCCCGAGGGTAGGGATCCTGCTCCTGACCTTCGATGGGCCACTGTTCGTGCCAGGACCGGAGGTTAGGAGTCTGGGAGTGCTCCTGGATGCCTCCTTAACAATGAAGGTCCAGATAGCAGCCAGTGTTCCCTCTAAACTGAGTTAGTGTGAGCTAGTTCACAGCTTTTTAACCTTCAGCTCACACATTTTTGTCTTAGCTCAGGAAGGATGGCTCCAGAGCAAACTACTTTATGCAGTAGCCAAATTGCTTGCTCACAACTTTAATGCCAGTAGCTCACAAAGTAGAATTTTTGCTCACAAGATTCCACAGCTTAGAGGGAGCATTGGTAGCAGCCACTGCCAACTCAGCCCTTTACCACCTTTGGGTGATCAGGCAGTTGGTTCCCTTCTTCAAATGCAACAACTTGGCAACAGTGATCCACACGACAGTCACCTTGAGACTTGACAACTGTAATGCTCTCTACATGGGGCTGCCCTTGTCTCAAATCACAGCAAAATGCTGTGGCCAGGCTTTTGATGGGTCTCCCTATGTGGGAGCCAGTGTTCCCTCTAAGCTGAGTTAGTGTGAGCTAGCTCACAATTTTTTTGCCTCTGGCTCACTCATTTTTGTCTTAGCTCAAGAAGGATGGCTTGGGAGCAAACTAATTTATGCAGTAGCCAAATCACTTGCTCACGACTTTAATGCCAGTAGCTCGCAAAGTAGAATTTTTGCTCAGAAGACTCCACAGCTTAGA